TTTTCGGACATCAACTTCCGAAAATACATAATTATTTCGGTAGTACATTTCCGAACAAAATAACAAAATTCGGCTCTGGTTATCCGAACGACGCTGCGAAAAAAAAAAAAATTAAACTCACATTTCCTTCGCTCTGCTTCACATGAATACTTATTTGCTGATTTTCAGAAGACAAATCCTCCATCACAAATATAAGTAATGAAGAATGAGGAAGGAAGAATGAGGAAGACAGCTTGTGGAAGGAGTGTGGAGCTTGTGCAAGGAGTGTACACTAATGAAGAATGGAGTAACTTTGGAGCTCTGGTATGGAGTCTGTGTGTGTGTGGATCATTTAGCAAAATGAGGAAGCAGAGGCATTGCAACGTCTGTGTGTGTATTGAGAGGATGTGTGTTTATTTGAATTGTGTGAGATGTCTATAATGGTAATTTTATTTAGGGATAAAATTGTAATAAAAATAAAATTCATTAAGTGTGTGCAAAGAGTGGAATTGGTGTGTGCAAATAGAGGCTCCCGGAGAAGAGTCATAAAGCCTGTGTTTGGGAAGTAAGTTTTAGGGGCTTCTTTTTTTTTCTTTTTTTTTTCTTTTTAAATAGTCATAAAAAAATAAAATAATTTTTTTAATCAAATAAGATAAAATATCACATCTAATTTATAATTATTATATTTTTTTTTCACAAAAAAAATTAAAAATCCTTCCTAAACCAAGTTTTATCCCCAAGTTAAAATAGTTTAAAAAGTCAAAAAATTAACTTACTTTCCAAACGAAACCAAAATATGGTAACATATCATTTTCGAATAATGTTATATAATTGAATTCAAAAAAACAAAAGAATAATGTTATATAATTTATCAATTCATGACGTGATATAATTTAAAATATTTTGATATTTATAATTTATATAATTAGTATATTAATTAATATTTTAATATTTATAATTTGTATAATTAGTATACTAATTGATAGATATATATATATATATATATAACACTACCATATCATTTCAAACTTTAGAGTGTATACTCATAATTTCATCCTAAAATGTCATGAGATACATCAAACAAAATCAATCATGATTTTGATTCAAAACAGTAAAGTTTGGCTTAGTTTTTAAAATAAATTTTGAATAAAAAAATAAAAAAAAATATTATTTGATTAACAAATTTTTAGAATACAATTCAAAATTCAATTTTTTTTCTCCTCTCTCCTTCCATTTTTTTATTATTTAATAAATCAATCAATCACTTTTTCTCTATCCTCTCTCATCTCTCATTCTCTCACATTCTACACATCAATCAATTAAATTTTCTCTCATATATATCTATTCAACTAAAAATAATAAAAAAAATTACAAATCATCTTAAAATTATTTTCAAAACTCATAATCAAATAAATTTTCAACTTTCAAAACTCTTTTTAACAATTTATCTTTTAAAATACAATTCAAAAACTAGACAATGGAGCCTTAGTTTTCTTACTATGTGCATCATTTTAGAGAATTGGGGTGTTGTTGTGAGTAAAGCACAGTGGGCACTGTTGTGCACTCGTAAGGTGTATTTAGAGTTTTATTTCGATAATTTAAAATATTCATTTTTTAGAATATATTGTATAAAAC